GCATACTAATTGATGTGCTTTTTGTTAACAGGGCTGACCTTTGGCATAGCGGCTCATTACATCAGCATCTTCCAGGATACCAATCCCTACCCAACGAGCGAAATGATAAGCAGGTGAGCCACTGTCACACATCCTTACTATCTATGCGTTTCTTAAGTAATGAAGTTGCGGTTTAACTGTATCCATTCCCTCCTTTTTTCCGCTGGATGATTGCAGAGGCTACGCCAAATCGCTCATCGCTTCGGTAGTTGTTGCGGCCGCGTCCGGTGTCAGTATCTCCTTTGCCATTCTCTCAAACAGCTTGGCCGCCATGATCGGCAACGCCATTTCCCTATCTCTTCTCCCTCCGGCTGTGAATTGTGTAAGCTGCCGTTCTCTCTGTCTCTCTACTAGTGAAATTTTCACACAACCTATCTTTTATCATAGTGAATTAACCACATCCTAACCTCTTGGCAGGTCCCTTGCTAGCCAATTTATCAGTTTCCAGCTAATAATAGCAAAATTATGTGGTCAGTTCGTCGCATGGTCACCCATTATAGCGCAGATTCTTCAGGTATAATACGTCGTTTTAAATGTGATTGGTACATAAGATGGAAAGATTGTGAAATCGGAAAGGCCTATTCCCGTCTCCTTATTCCTCGTTCAATTAAATGAAGAATTCATTTGTGCTGACAAACTAAGACTGACCGACATATTACCGACTTAAAGAAGGAGATTGGGACGACCAGTTTGTTGGTGACACGTCTCGAGCGTTGATGGATGCGCGTGATCGCTATGTGTTCACCTAATAGAGCCTCTAAGATTCTGTGGATTCCATTACTAGGTAAAGTAAACATAACCCGGCTTATTAGTGAGCTCTGGGATTGAAGAAGACGCAGATTAGGCGCCTTCCAAATATGACCACTTTAAATAATACACCTTTTCGTTTTCGTTTTCTTACTCTTCGCAATCATCAACCACATACTTGAACTTGTACCCATTACTGAATTCTTCTGACTCGAACTGTTATGTTGTCCCACGGAAGGTGGGTTGAAGGATGTGATTCGGACGATAAGATGAAGGTCAGGCAATGTTGAACCTCCATACTACAGGCGACCTTACGTCAAATTCCAGGAAGAGTTGGGTTTAGGGTTGAGGTTACAGATAGGGTTAAGAAGATAAGTGTTAGCATTAGGAAAGTTAGGACTAAGGGTGGGACAAGGGAATAGGTGTTACCCTGGAATTAAATGTAAACCCATCCTCTGCACGGAGTTCAAATTATCGTGTACAACTAAAATATGTGCAAGCCGAAATCAGTGTGGCTTACGGAAAGCAGCCGCCCGATGTTGATCTGTGTTAAGTTTTTCTTAATGATATACTGTTGGATCATACTCCTTCTCGTTATACCCCCTGAGTGTCTAAAGTCATAAATTTGGTCTTTTGTATAGTTGTAAAGTTTTTTACAGTCCGAAGTCTTTCCTTCCTGAAGGGGGTCGTGGCTCGCTGGAGGCGGCAGGTCAGTGAGAAATTGCGATTCTGGCCCTCATCATCCTTGAAGGTTGTACTTCTCCATTGCGTATACGACAAGACAAGGGAATGCGAAACCCATCGACTTCAGGAGGCTTTCGCAAATCTCCAGATAAATTATGGTTAGGGTTAGATTCAGGGTTGTGGTTGGGTTAGGGTTATGACTCGATACTAACTAAGCTTCGTGGAGTTTTGTGCAAGGCCACTTGTATTTACATGGGGCAGGG